GAACCCGGGAGGCGGAGGTTGCGGTGAGCCGAGATCGTGCCATTGCACTCCAGCCTGGGTAACAAGAGTGAAACTCCGTCTCAAAAAAAAAAAAAAAAAGAAAATTCTGGAGTAAAAATGGGCTTTGCGGGTTCCACCAAAACCAAAAGATTCCTCCTGATGTCTCAGATTCCAATCCTCCCAATGAAGGCTACATGAAAGTGCTACCATATTTCCTCAAAGAAAGAATTTTACATGCATACATGGATAGCTTCCTAATTGACCTTGGCCAATCCCACTCCTACGGTGCCTCAAATCCCTTTAAGAACCTAAGGGCTCCACGAGTGTAATCTCCCGGTGTCTGGGTTCTTCAATCACAAGCTTCCCCCCTCGACCAGTGAAAGCCCACCCTGGGTTCTACAAAGCCCACTATTCCCGACCCTCCAACAACTAAAAATAACCAGCAATCAGCTCCCCCAAATTGTTTAACCCCTGATTACCTAGTGCCCTTATAAACCTGGGACACCCCCCCACCCCCAGTCCAACTCCTCCATTCCCTGGGCCCCTTCCTGTGGACAAGCAAAGCAATTTCCCCCTATTTCCCCATTTTCCTCACTGTGTCCTCCACTAATCGTGTCTCTCCTCGGGCTCCCCTTCGCACCATCTATCAGTCTTAGACGATCAAATGCGGATTCCTATCTTTGCCTTAAGGCACCAGGATCCTGAGACCTCCCAGCGCCCTGCAGCCGTGCACATCCCCAGGTCGTGCCCCAGCCGTCCTGGGTCCCCTCACAAGCCCGGGTCTGCCACTTCACCCTGGTCTTCCCCCATCCTCCTGGTCCACATTTCGTATGCCCCTGCCCTCATTCCCTTAGGACTTCCTAGCTGCTGGTTCCAGAGACTTCTTGCTTTACAGTCTCCCCGCCCTCGGGGAGTTCCGACCCCTTCTTTCCGATCACCCCGTTTACCCCCCTGCCCTCAACCCCGAGCACCCTCCCCGCGCCCGGCTCCCGGGCTCCCAGGGCCGGTGTTCTGTGGCCCCGGCCCCTTGCGTGGAGTTCCGCCGTCTCGGGTCCCAGGTGTCCGTCCCTAGCTCCGCGCCCGCCCCGCCGCGGCCGGCCCCCTCCCGCCTCCCCGGCCCCCAACGCTCCCACCACGCGCCGCGCTCGCTGTCCCGACCCCCCGGCTGGGGGCGCAGACCTCTCCCGGCCCCGCCACGCTCCGACGGCCGCCCGGCCCCGCGCCGGTACCTTGGCCTTGGTGACGAGGTGCGTGGCCCGCTTGACCACCGCGAAGTTGCCCTTGCCAATGGTGCGGTCGATCTCGTAGTATCCGATGCGGGCGGGCATGGGTCCGCGGGAGGCCGGGGCTGGGGGACGCGGCGGGCCGGCGGCGGGGGACACGGCAGCGGGGGCGGCCGGGGGCCCCGGCGCGGGCGGAGGCAGCAGGCGGCCCGCGGGCCCGGCTCCCCCCGTCCCGGCCCCGGCAGCCCCGCCAGCTCCGCTCGCCGCCGCCGCCGCCATCTTGTTGTGCAGTGAAACCTCCGGGGCCGCGGGGAGCCGGCTCGGGGGAGGGGGCAAGGGGGGGCGGGAAAGGGGGGGCCGCTGACGTCACTCGGGGAGGCGGGGCGCCCTCGCAGCCCGGCGCCCGCCGCCATGGCAACCGCGGGTCACGTGCCGACGCGCGTCACTGCCCGGAACCATGGCAACCGTGACCTCACCGGCGGGCTCGACCTTCCCGCGTGGGCCCGGGTTCCTGAGGCGCTGGCTCCCGAGTGCCCCCCTCCGGGAGCTGGCGGTGGGAACCTCCGGTGGGCCCCCAACCTCGAAGCCTCCGCCGCCTTTCCCGAGTCGGGGGCGCAGGATCCCCGACCCACAGCCAGCCCCCCACCGCCGCTGGAATCACCAGTGTGACCTCTACTGGGACCTCTGTCCCAGTTCAACGATCACCCAACCTCCCTTAACAAAAAAAGTGTTTCCTCGTCACCAAAAATACCAGCGTTGTCCCACTTTAGCCCTTGAGGCCACAAAGGCAGGAATAGCTACACTTTTTAAGCAACTGTAACCAAGTTGGTAACAACGCAAGGGAATTCTTCAGTAAAATTCCTTCCTCTTATAAAATCCAGCTCACCCTGTACAATCAACCTAATTGTCACCGAATATAGGAGAATGGGGAAAGGATTTGCGTGTTCAAGGGCGGAGAAGCCAGTCCAAACAGGCATTCCAGTCATTGGGTGGGTGACAGCCAGAGAAGGTACGTCATTTTCCTTCCTACCACCCCCGCCTCTGAACAATTCTGTAGGGATGTCTGTCAGAGTGCCTACATACGATTTCTGTTGCTTGTATAAGCCTGATGAAGCAGCGGTGCACATTGTCCAATGTCCAATGAACCACGTCGTGTTTAAAGAATAGTCAGTTAAGCAAAATAAATAAGTGAATAATAAAAATTCCATCCTTCCTAGTGACTCTCCAAAAACATTAAGGGTCATCAAGTTAGTAACTCCAGCAATTTCATATCCCTTTTTCTTCCCTTCTCTATTACCTGGCATCCTTCATAGCTCCCAGACTTCCTCCTCTTCTCTCCCTTTCCCTTTATTTTTTTTATTTTTATTTTTTTTTAAAGACGGGGTTTCAACATGTTGGTCACGCTGGTCTTGCACTCCCGACCTCAAGGGATCCACCCGCCTTGGCCTCCAAAGTGGTTGGATTACAAGCGTGAGCCACCGTGCCCGGCCCTCCCCTTTCCTTTATTAAAGAGATTAACTTAGCTGCTTTAGGTGAGGGCAGGAGGTAGGAAATCAGACTGTCAACAAAATAGTCTTTGGCAGGTTGGGTGGAAAGAAGGGAAGACTGTGAATACTCCAGTGTTAAAATGTATTCCTCGGACTAGTCCTGATTCATCCATATCTATCTCTGTCAATGGTAGAACTGTATTGTCAGGTCACTACATGCACAGTATTAAAAACTGACACTCGGGGCACTGTAAATGTGTGAAAAGGAGAGTTCAGGTTTACTCTCTGACCAAAGAACATTTCCTGGTGCTTCGATTCCCTATCCAACCATGAGTAATAGCTGGGACTTAAGATGGGACAGAGGGGTCATCCCACAATGGTCTTGGATCAATTCCCTGGTGCTGTTCCAAATTGCCAACACAGTTAACACTAATTGGCTCCCTTATTAGCAAAGAAGGATAAGAATGAAGTGGGCCTTGGCTTCTTGCATTGGTTAAGCCCTTACATCTATTGAGCACATTCTATCCCAGATAAATGATGGGGTGTGACCTGCCTCTCCTATCACTTCATGGCCCTCACCTGCCTCTGGCAGGGACTATAACTTTGGTGCTGAGCTGCACAGCTCCAGGTTTTTTTGGTTTTTGCTCTGTTGCCCAGGCTGGAGTACAGTGGCGCAACCAAGGCTCACCACAACATCCACCACCCAGGTTCAAGCAATTCTCCTGCCTCAGCCTCCGGAGTAGCTGGGACCACAGGAGCCAGCCACCCCACCTAGCTAATTTTTGTATTTTTATAGAGACAGGGTTTCACTATGTTGGCCAGGCTGGTTTTGAACTCCTGACCTCATGATCTGCCTACCTCAACCTCCCAAAGTGCTGGGATTACAGGTGTCAGCCACCACGCCCGGCTACGGCTGCATTTTACCATCTCCCTGGGTGTCTCAACAGAAACTATAGCTGGCTGGTAAACCAAAGAAAAAAATATTTCACTGTGGAAGCTGCAGGAGCGGCACTGAAACCATTTTTCACTGGTGACTGTGTGTTCACAGAATGTCCTCCACTAATGGAAATAATTCGAACATCCAATATCACAACTTTTCCTGCTCTCTCAAGAGTTTCAAAAAGAAAAACAAAGCTGGGGAGGACCTAGAAAATGGAGCATTGTTCTAATTTTCAAAGACAAGAAGCAGATGACTCGTCTCTCCAAAATGACCAGAACATATACTGTGTGCTGTGTGTTGTGTCACTTATGCTCCTTTCCTGTATAGATTGAGGTCAGCCGGGTGCAGTGGCGCGTGCCTGTAGTCCCAGCTACTCAGGAGGCTGAGGTGGGAGGATCGCTTGAGCCCAGGAGGTCTAGGCCGTAGTGCGCTATACCGACTGGGTGTCTGCACTAAGTTCGGCATCGGTATGGTGACCTCCTGGGAGTGGGGGACCACCAGGTTGCCTAAGGAGGGGTGAACCGGCCCAGGTCGGAAACGGAGCAGGTCAAAACTCCCGTGCTGATCAGTAGTGGGATTACGCCTGTGAATAGCAACTGCACTCCAGCCTGGGCAACATAGTGAGACCCCGTCTCTTTTATAAAAATTAAAATTAAAATTAAAAAAAATAGATTGAGGTCACTAGATGGTGTTTCTGATTGAGACTTCAGTAGACTTGCTGGAGATCTCCTTGAAGAGTAGCCTTCTTTGGCACGAAGAATACAGAATATTAGAGAAGGAAGTTATTGAAGGAGATCATAAGGCAAAAAGGAAAATAGTTTAGATGTTTATGTTTAATAAGGATTTATTAAGTACCAAGAACTGAGTTCGGTTCTGGGAGAAACTCAGAGTAAATAACAATAACAATTTGCCAGGCATTATGCTAAACAGTGTACCTAAGTGAACTCACTTAATCCTCACAACAACCTAATAAGATGGTTTGTATTATATCCCTATTTTCCAGGTAAGGAAAATGAGGCACGTAGGGATTAAGGGAATTAGCCAAAGTCATACAGCTAGAAAGTGAACTATGTTTTAAAACTGGGATTAAAACCTAGGATCTTCCCCATTGTATTATAATCCCTGTCAAGGTAGGAGCCAGTAGAAAAAGTGGTCCCTCCATTTTGTCCAGGGTGACTGGGGTCAATTTAGACCCAAGGAAGAAGAGTATTTTGAGAGATCTTGAAAACAGGACAGAGTAGGCAGCAGAACCACAGGAATAAAGACAAGACAGTAAGACTGAATGAAGTACCTGGGATAGCTGCTCTTATAAACAGCACCAAGAAGAGAATCAGGGCTTATTGTGTAAATGTGTTGCTGGCCCTTAAGAATACAGGACTGGCCAGGCACCGTGGCTCATGCCTATAATCCCAGTACTTTGAGAGGCCAAGGCCAGCAGATATCGAGGTCAGGAGTTTAAGACTAGCCTGGCCGACATGTGAAACCCCGTCTCTACTTAAAATACAAAAATTAGCTGGGCATGGTGGTGTGTTTCTGTAATCCCAGGAATTGCTTGAACCAGGACCCGGGAGGTGGAGGTTGCAGTGAGCCGAGATTGTGCCACTGCACTCCAGCCTGGGCTACAGAGCGAGCCCCCATCTCAAAATAAAAAGAATACAGGCATGGCCAGGCACCATGGCTCACACCTGTAATCCCAGCACTTTGGGAAGATGAGGTGGGTGGATCACTTGAGGCCAAGAGTCAGGGACCAGGCTGGCCAACATGGCAAAACCGCATCTCTACTAAAAATATTTTAAAATTAGCCAGATTTGGTGGTACATTCCTGTAATCCCAGCTACTTGGGAGGCTGAGGCACAAGAATTGCTTGAACCCAGGAGTCAAAGGTTGCAGTGAGCCAAGATGGCACCACTGCACTTCAGCCTGGGCAACACAGAGAAAACTCCAATCAAAAAAAAAAAAAAAAAAAGGGCCAGGCATGGTGGCTCATGCCTGTAATCCCAGCACTTTGGGAGGCTGAGGTGGGTGGATCACCTGAGGTCAGGGGTTCAAAACCATCCTGGCCAACATGGCGAAACCCCATCTCAATTAAACACAAACACACACACACACACACACACACACACACACGCCTGTAAGTGTTGTGTTCCTCTCCTGAAGCAGACTCAGAGGAATAGCTGGGAGGTGGAATTCTCAGAGCCCCTGTACCAGAAGACAAAGGCAGAGAGATATAGCCTTCACCCAGCTCACGATCAGCCATCATGACCAACTCACTCTTTTGTGAAAAAGCAAAAGATAGATTCAAAGAGGAAAATGAGACGTTTTCCTGTGTAATGTCATTGTGTCTTGTTTCCAGAATTTGAAAAGGGCAAACCGAGTTATTCTTGATGATAATGATAGGAACTTGGAAACTTTTAGAAGTGATACAGAACGTCTGAGGACTTAAGGTCTGACCTGAAAGTGATACAAACAGTAAGATGTCACACATAAGTCTTCAATGATTTAAAAAAAAAAAAAAAAAAACTTAGCCTGGCCACGGGGCAGTTTACCAGCAACCTGAAAGAAAGTTGCAGCCTCACAATGTTGCTCCATAGACTCTCAGAGCCGTGAGGACTTGAAATAAGCCAGACTTTGCACTTTATATTGGTCCCACTCATTACTACTCTGGAAAATAAAAAAGGCTGGTTTTTGTTGTTGTTGTTGTTGTTGTTTTTTTTTTTTAGACTGAATCTTGCTCTGTCGCCCAGGCTGGAGTGAAATGAAACAATCTCGGCTTACTGCAACCTCCGCCTCCTGGAATCAAGCAATTCTCTTGCCTCAACCTCCTGAGTATCTGGGATTACAGGCGTGCGCTACCACAACCGGCTAATTTTTGTATTTTTAGTAGAGAC